GAAGAGGTAGGAATGTCTGTTGACAAATTGAGTTGTGCTGTCTGTTACCGGGCCTTATAAGTAGTGAGAGCTCTCATAAATAAGGCCAAAGTCAGAAACTGAGATTAATAAAGTAGTTAATCAGCCATAGTTGAATATTCAGGAAGGGACTAAAATAGTTGATGCACCTCATGTCGCTCGTACCAGGCTAGCCAGTCTTCATATGTGGAATCACGTCTAGGAAACATAGAGCGTAATTCTGTCCAAAAAGCTTATATTTGTCCAAAATAAGACTGCAGAGAGGAACTACCTTTGTGTTGTAGAGCAACGCGTTGCAGAAGATATGCCTCCCGTGCACCAGAACACTCAGTAAAACGCTCAGTGAGGCGAGTCCACATGGCCCGAGCAAAGGGAACTGAACCAATTTTGACAGTGAGACCGGAGCCAACATAGCGAGTGAGATAATCCATGACACGAAATTCCTATAACTGCTAGTCCAAACTCTCATTGACATAGAGAGCACGAGCAGTCTGAAGATCGACATCACCACTGCCGGATGTAACAGTACTGGATGAAGCAACAATGCTGATGGATGGTGGAATTGGTCCCGTACTGGTGAGATCATAAAGCAGACTAGCGCCACACAAGGCATTTGTGACAATGGTGGACCATCCTGCCCAGTTACTTTGATCATTGAGGGGCATGGGGTGGTTTAGGAATCTTCTCTGAAGGATCTATAACAACAAATCGAAGTTCAAGATAATAATCTTTGAACGAAAATACCCGAAGGTTAGAATGGAACCCGAAAATTTAAAATAGAACCCGAAGGTTAGAATAGAACTTGAAGGTTTAAAATAGAACCCGAAGGTTAGAATGGAACCTGGAGGTTTAAAATAGAACCTGGAAGTTTGAATGGAACTCGAAGGTTTAAAATAGAATCCGAAGGTTATATATATACAAGTAGAGATCTGCGATAGTGGCAGCGGCCGAAATCTCCTGCGGTGACTGAGATAAGTGACTTAGAAGGGGAATTTTTATTTATTTGAATTTATTATTATTATTTGGGAAACCCTAAACAAAGTTCTGATACCATGTTAAAGTAAGAGAGAGAGAGTGTAAAACCCAAAAAATTTGAATATTTTATGATAAATAATAATAAATATATTATATACTTATAAATAACATATTATGATGTTTGAGTATGCTAGTAATTGGTTTGAGATCAATTCAATGTATATATGTATATATATAAGAGCAAATGCACAATTCATACTCGATGTATAAATCTGGAAATTTATGACCAGTGGAGAGATTTTATATTTTTTCATAGATATAGTTGGAATTTAAAAAAACTTAAAAGACAAAAGTTGTAGGTATCTTCAATAGATTTCCAACAAGTCTTACATCACCTCATTCTGAAGTCGGACGTGAAAGTTATGGCTAAAATACCAAAGGTTATTTTCCTAGTCAGATTAGGATTCCTGGTTCGGGTCAAACGGGTTTATTTCGGGTTTGCATAAATATAAACATGTGTTTTCATGAAAATTAACATCATTACATCAGAGTTTCAAACCCTAGCAGCCCCTCTTCCTCTCTCTGAATCCCTAGCCCTAAAGTTGAGAATTTTGAGAGCTTTGTGAAGCAAATATCGACACGAGGGCGAGATCATCAACGTGTAGCAAGGGGAAAATGGCTTAGTTGTACTTCTTTTTGGTTGCTGGTTATTTCAGAAGCTTAGAACGACATCTAAGGCAAGATTATCTTCATCTAAACCCTTCCCCATAGTTAAATAACTAGTTAGATGTTTAATATGATGTTGAATATGTGTTTTCATGCTTGAATCTTAACATGATGTGATAAAAGTTAAAATTTTGATGTTAAAACATAAGATGTGATAAAAGTTAAAATTTTGATGTTAAAACATAAACCAATGCTAGATTAGTAATTTTTTTCTTACTTTTTATGATAGTATCATGATCATGATCATTAGGATTTTTCATAATTTCATTTATATATGAGAAATTTAAGAGATGTACTAAATAAATATTTTCTGCAGAAAACTGCAGCAATTGTATCATGTTTAACTGAGATCTGAGATTTCAAAATAGAAAATAAACTCCAAATTTAACCAAAATAGTGTTATTTGAAAGATGTATGAATCTAGTTTTCAAAACAGAAAACCATTCTTAAAAATCATTTGTATAGAGAAAGATATGATCTTTTTACTAACAACATGTCCTGTAGAAAAATGGCTGCACATATATAATGTTTAACTAGAGATTTGGGATAACAAACGAACTCTAAACTGAACCAAACTTATGTTATTTGAAAGATGTGTGAATCTAGTTTTCAAAACAGAAAACTATTTGTAAAAATAGTTTTCCTAGAAAAAGATATGCTTGTTTTACTAACAGATGTTACATTTATTTTTCCTGCTCGTTTTGTGGAGCTGTGTTGCGCTGTTTTGAGGTGCGTTCGCGGAGTTTTGAGCCGCTTGATGTTATACGTATAGTCATGAATATGTTATGTTATATATTTAAGAATCCCAAGGGGATTATGATGAATTTTGATTTGATCATATTTGAATTAGATATAGTTCATATACATGTTGGATGTCGTTGATGAGCACAGCTTAGTACTATATGGGATAGTACGTCAACACACCAGATATACACGGTTTATACATAAGGTAACTATCATTAATGAGCATAGCTAAGTATTATATGGGATAGTGCATCGACATGCCAGAGGTACAAAGATTTATATGAGGTGGATATCATTGATGAGCTCAGTTCAGTACTACATGAGGTAGTGCGTCGATATTACATATGTACAGGCCATTGAGTCGGATTTTAGGAGGCTTGATCTAGCCGTCCGTCCCGCACTAGGGTGCGAGGCCATTGAGTCGGATTTTAGGAGGCTTGATCTAGCCGTCCGTCCCGCACTAGGGTGCGATGAGACTCTTGAGCCGTATTTCTAGGATGCCTATTTGGTAGTCCGTCCCGCACTCATGTTATGCACTGAGATCGCGATGAGACTAATGAGCCGTGTACACAGTTCAGGATACCTATAGGGTAGTCCGTCGTACTGAGACAATTACTTGATATGTACACAGTTCAGGATACCTATAGGGTAGTCCGTCGTACTGAGACAATTACTTGATAGCCTAAGTATGAAAAATGCCGATTATAAATACGATTTATCAGTGAACTATATAACTGAGATACGTTACTTCTGAAAGTATACAAAATTATGTGTTGGTATTTTATTCTATCTCTCCAGTGATTGTGGAAGATATTATAAATACGATGTGTTGATATCTTGTTTCTTTTATCACAACTTGAGACTTATGGTATATACATGAGAGTTTCCTTGTTTGGATTATTTCGCTCGACGTACCAGTCTCGTGTTATGGATTTCTAATTGTTGGTTTAATTAGATTGTCTTTTCTTAGTTCGGTATTAATGTTTAGATATCTACAATTTGAGACTTATGGTATATACACGAGGGTTTACTTGTTTGGATTATTTCGCTCGACGTACTACGTCTCGTGTTGTAGGTTTCTAAATGTTAATCCTACTTAGATACGGGAAAAATGAATCTAGGTAGACTATGCTTAATAGATAGAGCATTCACTCCACCTAGTAGCCATTTCCCTGGCGGCGGATGGAGGTAATATTGCTATAGCGCTCTGACGCTCTTGTTGTTATTTTTTTTTCTTTTAAAAATACCCTTTCAGGTAGCTCGGAGTTCCGGAGAGCCGCAGGATGACAGAGTTCTTGCATAGTCGCCATTCCGAGAGATTTATTAGAGGCTCCACTGTAGTTTTAAATTTTATTCAGAGTTTATTTCCATTTTGTAAAGGCAATGAGCCTTAGTTCGACTTTCCGTTTTGATTCATGTTGAGACATCGTATGTTATTGCAGACTCCAAATGTATTTCAGTTTATTTTCAGTTGAGACATGACCTTATTTATGAGATATCATCCTATTTATCATGTCTATTATCATCGTTCTACTTCTTTGCCTGTTTTGTACCTACGCTTTTATTTGACCCCACTAGAGGATATTACTGTGATTGGTGAAACTTGTTGTTGCACAGTGTGGGTGCATGGCAGGTTTGACATATCTGGGTTCACCTTGGACTGCAGTCATGGTGAAAACAGGGGCGTCACAGAGAGTCTTGAGTAAATTTTCACTAATGGAAAACCAGGTATCCTTGACGGGAAATCCCGTCAAGAATGCCTAATTCCCCGTCGGCGATATATATCCTTGACCGTTAGCCGTCAATGATAAGCCGTCAGCAAAAGTCCCGTCAGAAAAGAATTAACCCTGACGGGGACCTGTTAGTAATTTATTTTTCTAACGGCAATACGTTGACGGCAAAAGCAGTCAGCGATAATAAATTATCGCTGACGGCAATCCTGTCAGCGATATTATAAACATCGCTGACGGGTAAACCCTCAGCGATTATCATCGCTGGCGACAAAATCGTCAGCGACGGACTAAATAACGTCGACGGTGAATATATACAAGAAGAGGAGGGTGAAGTTTGTTCTCATAACCAATAATGTGAAACTAAACCCACTACTAACACAATATTATCAACAAGGGTGATTATGTTTTAATTTAAATCAACTTTAATGGCATATAACAGTTGTAACAACACTTCACTAGTCACGCGGGAATATTCCCCGTTTATTCCAATGGCTAAATCATGGAAGGAATCAACTTGCAACTACTTCAAAACTTTGGTGCATTTATTTGTAACGTTTTACAACTTTGGGGCATTTATTTGAAACATTCTGAAACTTTGGGTAACGTTTTTGCAAGGTTTAAAAACAGAGGTCCCTTTTTTGTAGGGGCGGTGAAGCAGTGGGGCATTGTTTTGCAGTTAAGCCATTAAATTTACAGCGACATCCGTCCAAGTCCACATTTTTGCATAAACACGCAACTAACAAATCAAAATTTTGCAACCAGCATCCAAGACCACCTGTCTTCACCGAGCCAAGAAGCCGCCGCCCTAGCGCTCCTCTCTGTTGCCGCGTGGCACATAAACCCATCATAATAAAACAAAAAACGAGTGAGGCTGCTCTCACTCACCGAGAAATCATCGCAGACGAAAATGGAGACCGCAGAATCACCGCCGACGGATCTCGCTCCTCTCCTCGAAGCCGCCTCCGACTTCGCCTCGTATCCTGGTCTAATCAAACCCTTCTCCTTCTTTATCGACCACTCTCCGATCTCTTTCTTAGTTGTCAAATTAATGTTTATTCTCTTCTATTTCTTGTATTAGGTTTGCTAACCGATGATGCGGCTAAGGAGTTTCTCGATCGCTTCCCCCTTACTTTCCTCTTCAGGTACTTTACCTCTCTCACTGTGGTTGATTCTGAGCTCATTTGTAGAGTTACTTGATGACAATTAAGAAATCACGCATTTTTTTTAGAGAAATCACTATGAAGAATAAATTTACAAAGTCGTGACATATTTTAACTAATGTAGTTACTTTAAGTCTGTTAAATATTGTTTTATAGAGCTATGGAAAAGATATCATCGAGAAGTATTGTTATTATTATTATTATTATTATATATAATTATGTGTGTGTTGGAGATAAATTCTTTGCTGTTGTTGTGTTGAGGTTTGAGTTACTGACTTGATGAATGAGAAATATGTATACAGTGGCAGATCCAGATTTTTTTCGAGGGGCAGATGACAAATATCTATTTATCTAAAAATAAAGATATAATAATATAAAACTCTTAACACCTGATAGAAATGCAATTTAGTACACTTTATTAGCTTAATGTATCAATTTTGCCTGTAGTTTAAACAAATTGAGAACTTTCACTAATAATTTACTTAAAATAAGCTAAACTCAAGTGCGTTGCTAATTGTTTAGTGATCTATAAGTGAGAGTTGGGGTGCAAATGTTTTAAAACTAGGAGGCGTGGATTGCAAGTTGAGAAAGAATCGATACACAATTTCCAAATTGTTAAGAGTGCAAATGCACCCCTAACTTATAACATAGGTCCGCCCCTGTACATAAAGTCTACGGGCTGCTGGCTTATAAATGTTTCCTCAATGATGTACACGCGTCCTTTAGATTGGAGGGCTTCATAGAGGAAGCACCGGGAAAGTGAATGTACTGGAGGAGTAAGTGGCTCACGAGATAGAGACGTTTATTTACTGAAGTGGTAGTCGGAGTTTGATATATTGAAGGCCTTGGACTTGTTAGGGGAGGAATATAGGAGTTCATTATTGACGATTATATTGGGAATGCATGCTTTGTTTGAATTCTCAGAGTGGTGTATAGTGAGGAAAAGAATTGCAAAGATGTAGATCTCCCACACTTTGAAAATTATCACGAGCCTTAAAAGAATACTTTGCAAAAAGTAAAACAATCCTCACCTGCAAGGGGGAGGAGATGATGTGGAAATTATGATTGTTGTACCAATGAATACTGCTAATATTTATTCTTGCAACATGCAAGAAACATGATAGATATGTGGAAAGAAGAGTGAACATTAGCTGCGAACATGGTTAAAAGTATGCTAGCGATTGGCAGATGATGGACGTTATTGAGAATGACCGTCTCAGGTCCTCAAGAATTGAAAACCAGGATAAGGTAAACCCCTTCTATTGTTGGAAATTAATCGTGTATTGACTGGAAAAGAGTTGTTGTGATAAAGTGGAAACTTAGCATTACAACAAACATTAAGAACAGTATATCCACCAGACTTGGGATAGTTTACCTTTGTATGACTTGAGTTCCAAAATTAGCTACCTACGACATCACATAAGAAATAAGAGTAATGAAGCACATCACAGGCCATGATTTGGAGTCCTTGGAGTTTTATCAGTCTTCAAGAGGTTTCCCGAAACATGTATTCGAGTTACTGTATCCTACTGCTAGATTATACTGCTAGACATCAATTAACAGAATATAATGAGTAAAATGTTGAGTTTCCCTTTATCCATTGCCTGAGAAAACATACAAGTAATTTAGTACAAAGTCTCAATCCCTGTTGGTTCCAAGGTAACATAGAAATGGTAGCATATTACTGCAAAGTGAGTCTGATAGTTGTTCTCGTTCCAAGTTGCTGCTGTTCAATATCATTGCATGTGATATTCCTTTTCTTTCTTAATCAAGTTGGCAACATAATGTACCAAACATTTTCTAAATTAACAGGAGAACATAGGTATATTTGATAAAACCAAATTGGTAAGCATGCAGAACTGTTACAAAAGGGATTTTTTTTCTTTTGGGTGGGGGT